TTTTTGAGATGGAGTCTCGATCTGTTGCCCAGGCTGGAGTGCAGTGGTGCAATCTTAGCTCACTACATTGGCCTCCCAGGTTCAGGCAATTCTGCTACTTCAGCCTTGCTAATAGCTGGGATTACAGGTACGTACTACCACACCCAGCTAAATTTTTGTATTTTTAGTAGAGATGGGGTTTCACCATGTTGTCCAAGGTGGTCTCAGACTCCTGAGTTCAGGCAATCCACCCACCTTCGCTTCCCAAAGTGCTGGGATTACAGGCATGAGCCATTACCCCCAGCCTACTTCTGATACTTAACTGAAATTTTATATCATTTGACAAACTTCCCTCCAACCACATGAGATCCATCCCCTGGTAACCATCCTGTACTCTCTAATTCTAGGAATTTGACTTTTGACTCTACTATTAAGTGAGACCATGCAGTTTCTGTATTTGTTTTCCTGATTCATTTTATTTCACATACTGAACTCCAGGTTCATTCATGTTGTTACAAATGACAGGATTTTCCTTTTTTTATGGCAGAATAGTGTTCCATTGTGTATATATATCACATTTTGTTTATCCATCCATTGTTATCAATATTTGGGTTGGTTTTGTATCTTGCCTTATAAAATGAATAATGTTGCGATGAACTTGGAAGTTGAGATATATTTCCCTTTGGGTATATGCCCAGCAGTGGAACTGCTGAATCACGTGTTAGTTCTATTTTTAATTTTTTAAGAAACTTCCATGTTTTTCTGAATGACTATATTAATTTACATTCCCATCAACAGTGAACAATAATTTCCTTTTTTCCATACTCTAACACTTATCTTTATCTTTTCATTAATAGCTATTCTAAAATGTGTGAGGTAATGTTAATATTATCTCATTGTGGTTTTGATTTGTGTTTCCCTGATGATTAGTGACGTTGAGCATCTTTTCATGTACCCATTGGACATTTGCATATCTTCTTTTGAAAAATGTCTATTCGCATCCTTTGCCTATTTTTTAATTAGTTTTTCTGTTTTCTAACAATTGAGTTCCTAATATAGTTTGAATATTAACCCCTTATCAGAGGTATGGTTTGCAAATATATTCTCCTATTTTGTAGGTTGTCTGTTTATCACATTAATTTTTTTTTTTTTTTGGCTGCGTGGAACTTTTTAGTTTGATGTAAACTCATGTGTCTATTTTTGTGTTTGTTGCCTATGCTTTGGGCTCGTATCCAAAAAAAACCATTGCCCAGACCGAAATCTTGGAGCTTTTACCATATGTTTTCTTCTAGCAGTTTCACAATTTCTAATTTTATATTTAAGCCTTTAATCCATTTTGAATTGCTTTTGGATATGGTGTTAGATATGGGTCCAGTTTTATTCTGCTGAATGTGGGTATCCAATTGTCCCAACATGATTAATTGCAGAGACTATTCTTTCCCCATTGTTTTTGGCTTCTTTGTGAAAAGTTAATTGAATGTAAATTATTGGATTTATTTCTGGGCTCTCAATTTTGTTTCTTTGGACAATGCATCTGCTTTTATGCTATTACCATGCTGTTATAATTACTACAGTTTTGTAGTATATTTTTGAAATCAGGGAATGTGATGCTTTGTTCTTTTTGCTGATGATTATTTTGGCTATTAGGTTCTTTCATAGTTCCAAATGAATTTGAAGACTGTTTTTCTATTTTTTGTGAAGAATGTCTTGATATTTTGATAGGATTGCATTGAATTTGTAGATTTCTTTGGGTAGCATAGTAATTTTAACGATATTAATTTTTCTATGAATATAGGATATTTATTTTTGTGGTCTACAGTTATTTTTATCAATATTTTATAGTTTTCCGTGTATATGTCTTTCATTTTCTTGGGTAAATTTACTCCTAAGTATTTTATTTTTGATGCTGTTGTACATGGGGTTGGTTTCTTAGTTTCTTTTTCAGATAGTTTATGGTAAGCGTATGGAAACAATACTAATTTTTTATGTTGGATTAGTATCTTGCAAGTTTACTTAATTTATCAGTTTTAACAGTTTTCCAGTGAATTCTCAGGCTTTTCTGTGTATAAGGTCAGATCATCAGTAAACAGACACAATATCCTCTTTCTTTCATATTTTCATACCTTTTTATTTTTCTTGCTTAATTGCAAATTGGGTAGAACTTTTAGTATTATATTGAATGGAAGTCGCTAGGGTGGTCATACTTAAATCTTTAGAGTTCACTGGGTGGTTCTAGAGATTACAAATGGCAAAAATTTACACGAAAAATAATATAAAAAGACATCTTAAAAAGCGTTCAGTTTATCTTTTCTGGTAACATTTTATTGTAGCACTATGCTTTTCTCTCTTATATATGGGTATAGGAGGTTGTGATGTTGGTATTGATACCAACATTTTGACGTTCATATACATTTTTATACACTGATTTCTAAATAAAACAACATACTTAATTCTCATTATTTAAGAGTTCTCATGAGGCCAATAAAAATCTGCCTAACGATTTTCCTGGATAACGGTCACTTTCTTATTTGATATTATATCCGTGTTCCTGTGGACATGAGTGAAGTGAAGATGTTGGTAAATTAAGTAAAATCCTTAATTGTCAGTTTCACTTTCCTTATCTTTAAAACAGGAAAAATAAGTCCTCTTGTTTTTACTTAAGAGGATGATAGTATTATCTTAATGGCAGGTATAAATCTGCTTTATTCATTAGCTGTTGTGAGGAAATTATTGCAAAGGGGACAAAGAAAACTCCACAGCATTTGTCAGTCATGATTTGATGCTTTATTTTCTCCTTCCGTCTTGAAAGATTTCTAGAGTAGACAGCTGACCTTCCTCTGAGTACTTTCTTTTCTGCTATCATCACCTACAATTAAGTCTAAAACCTAATACATCTAAGACATTACACATGTAATGGAAGAGGGTTAATAAGGGGAATAAAAGCTCCAAGAGAATTAAATCACATTAAATGGGACAGTTGGGCCATAGTGCACTCTGTCTGGAGAATTAATCATATGCTGCTCATGCCAGTGGAAGAGATCAGTTTGTACTTATATTAGTGTCTTAGATTAGAAAAGAGAAGAAATAATACAATTTCCAGAAAGAAAAATATATTGATGACTGATGGAGTAGGTTAGTGACAGCCCCACATGGCCTTAAATTCCTGTATCAGTTCTGTGTGTCCCTCCCCCTGCTTTTTCATTCTTTGATCTTAATCATTTTCTCCTGAAGCCTTTAGAAGGTGCCCTTGGGTACTAGAGCCACAAAGACTATCTGAAGTCAAGCTCCTGGGAGTCCTACAGCTCCTAGCTCAGGGTAACGGGAGTACAAAAACCCATCTCTTTTTTTCTTAAGGTAGGACAAACTAGGGTATACTTTATACTCTACCAAGATTTAGTGGAGTCTGGGATTTCAACTTTGTGCCCTAATTTGGCTTTTCTCCCTTTTGTACTCTGCCTATCCTGCCTTCTTACCAATTTATCTTTATAAATACTTTCTTTATTATACATTTGCATGCAAATACTTAGCCTAAGGTCTGTTTTGGGTACAACCTGATCATAGACAATAGACTGCTATAACTTCTTAGCTTTTATTTAATAACTTAAGTCACATTTGATAGGTACCTTCTACATATAAATCCAATAAGCACATAGTTTATAAAGAAATATTAACCAACCTGTCAACAAATGCATGGTGAAGAAGGAAGATGGGATCATTGGCAGATCCCTGTACCTGGGACATCGTTCCATTCATATAGATGTGCAAGGCGTTGTGCATGCTGCTTTGAGAGGCATCTGCTAGCCCAGTAAGTGGACTAGCAAATCCTGTTCATTAAAAAAAAAAAAAAAAAAAAGGTAATGTTTACTTTAATGACTGAAAACCGTAGTGAGTATCCCATTTGATTTATAACCATAATTTAAAGCCCAATTCAAAATATAAAATCGAAAATAAAATTTATTTCATATTGAGACTCTTTACATTCTGGATAACCAGGGTGTATTCAATAAATATTTGTGGAATCAAATGGCTTAAATGTAGGTACAATGGACACTTAACCAGATAAAACAGGCTGAGCCAATTTGTGCTCCCTCCTGTTCCTTCTGCCTGTAATTTCTGTTTCAATATGAACAAGTCATAAGAACATTTTATAATAACCAGCAGTCGCTTTCACTTCAGTCTGTAACAACACTCAGAGCAGATCTTTTCAGCCTGTTATGTGTCCCCTTGCTTTCCATTTTTGGAGAATAATTTTGGTTTCTGCTTCCAGAGAAAGCATAAAATTTGTGACTTTTTACATTTTAATTCGTCTTTCACAGGAACATCTTTGCTATAAGTTCATAATGTGTTTTATTTTATAAAACATTCACTTCAAAAATAATTAGAACTCCAATAAATGTTTCCATGTATTGCATCAGCAACAGTAATAATGGGAATATTTTAATAAGAGCTATTATTTTCTAAATGTTGAGTATGCTGTTTATTGTGACATATTTTCTCTAACCTTTACAGCAATTCTGTTGATTAGAAATAATTAGCCCCATTGTAAAGAAAACTGAGATTCAGAGAAGTTCTGAGTTTACCAAGCTACCCAGATAGAGTTGGGATTTTAATCCACACCAGTTAGACACTAAAATATGAGCTCTTGGAATTTTGTGTTCTCTCTCATATGCCTATGAAGAAGTGGAAGATTAAGATAGCTTTTTAGTGCCCACTCAGGCAAAACTGAGAGTTAGGATCAGAAAAAGAAGTTTGAATAACAAAATTGAATTGTAAGCAGGAACCAAGTTGAGGGAACATGACGAAGGACGTATTATTGAATTTCAGAATTTAGAAATGTCAAGCAAGCAGAAATTACGAATAAGATTATAATGTAAATCAGAGTTATAACAGAAGCAGTGAAGTCCTAGCTTTATTTCATACAGGTAGAACTATTTTATTGGCAACATCTTCATTATTAAATGTGCAGTTCTTAATTCTTGCCTCACATGCCTTGTGCTCTCCCGCTATTGTGGCTTATAGTGCTTCTGCCCCTTCGGGTAGTGATTTTTTTTCCTTGCTTTACCTCCTTTTGAATTTATTTTATTTACTCTTGGAGACCATACCAATCCCTGACCCCTCTGGAAGATTAGCCTAAAAGAAGATTTGCCCCTTTCTTTTACACAGTTTTGTCTATGACCACTTCTGTGAATATACATACATGACACTTGATCTGTGTAGAGATTTTTCTAGATCTTGACATAATTTTATGTAACATTTAGAAGGATCTGACAAATTAAGTACCTACATTATTATAGAGATGGAAAAAAGGGCTTAGAGGGGGCAAAGAACCTGTCTAAGGTAAAATAACAAATTGGAGGCTAAGTTTAGAGCAGATGTCTGTTTTATTATAAAACGTATGCTCCTAAATACATTGGTTTACTTCCTTTGCTATGTAGCAATAAATCACATCACTGAGGACAATGTTCTACATAGAAGGTGTCTTCAAGATTTTATCTTTGAGTAGCATAAGTGAGAAATTTAAAACCACTTTTTATGTATACTTTCACACTTTTTAAAGTAGGTCCCAAACTGATTTTTTATTATTTAAAACAATTTTTTAAGTTTTTTATTTTTCATTGATTTATAATAGTTGTACATATCTTTGGGATACATGTCATATTTTGATACCTATAATGTATAAGATGTAATGATCAAGTCAGAGTAATTGGAATATCAATCACCTCAAAGCATTTATCTTTTCTTTGTGTTGGGAATCTTACAAATCTTCCCCTCTAGCTATTTAAAAATATACAACAGAATTAACTGTTGTTAATTATAAATTTCCTACTATACTATCAAATTTTTAAAATCATAAATAATTTCAGGGGATATAATTCAAGAATATTGCAAATAGTGTCAATTTAAGAATGAACATATTAGTTTCAAAAAAAATGTATGCTACTGAATTATTTGATACCATCATCCATACCAAAAACAACTTAAATTCTTCTTTGATAGTCTGTAACTTTCTGGAGTTACCTTTTGATACTTGAACTTGCATTTGTATACTGTTTTTCTACACAATCATATCTAGATGTTATATAGGTCATGCTTAAAATATTTTAAAAATATTGGTGAGGATTAAGGAGATGTTCGTCTAAAAATAAAAAAATTTAGATAGGAGGAGTAAGCTCAGGAGATCTATCATACAACATGGTGATTATAGTTAATAACAATGTGTGGTACACTTGAAAATTGCTGACAGAGTAGCTTTTAAATGTTCTTACCACCCAAATAAATATGTGAGGCAACAGATATTTTAAGTAGGTTGGTTTAGACATTCCCCAATGTATACATACATCAAAGTATCATGTGACACACCAAAAATATATAGAATTTTTATTTGTAAAATTTAAAAGGGAAAAAGAATAATTAGCCTACCAAACTTCTCTATAACAAAAATAGGTATATAAATCCTATTCTAAAGGTCAAAAATAAATAATTGCCAGGAAACCTTGTTCTTATAAATAACTAAAGGTAAAGAAATTTTTATACAAATTTTACTTACTTTTTTGAACTCATTTGAGCAAGATATGCTAATAATGGTACAATCCAGGAAAAAAAAATATTTTTTTACAATTTGATCCATCAACTGACAACTCAACCAAGAATTATTTGATAAAAGCAATTTTGCAAATGATGAATTTATTTATAAATGACTCAACATGTAAGAAGTTTGTTGCCTAGTAATTAAAGTTATGTGTGTTGGCAACACTAGTACCAATATTTTGAATCTCCCACTTGTTTAACACCCTGAAAGTTTTTCCCATTCTGGGAGCAGACTGTCCTGAGAATGAATTCAGGACAGGGGAAAGACAGGCTCTTCTTCTGAAACTTTGTTGAAAGGAGATTTTGAAAGGAGAGTTGGTGAAGGAGAATCTTCAGGATTCCTCTCAATCAGATTTATTTTGAAAAGTGTACTTGGAAGGATGAGCTAAAAGTAACTTTTCTTAAAAATCTCTGCACCATGTATCCCTTATAAAGTCTTTGTGAACCTGCAGTAGTGTATCTATACCACTTTGAAGATATTGCTGTAGAAAAGATTTTTAGAACTGAGTAGAACTTGGCTTAAATTCTATGTTACTTACTGGAAGTATGATCCTTGTCAAATTGTTTATATTTTTTGAACCTTAATGGTAAGAGAGGAAGTAAATAATGTCCACTTATCAGTTAGTGGCAAGAATTAATTTTGATAGCAGGCATAAAAGCATCTACTATAGATCTGGTGCTAAATGAATACTTCCTGAGTAGTAACTATCATTTCTATAATCATGTTGCATGTGATAAATGGGTGCTGCTAACCAAGAACATGGTGTACTCCCAATGCGAAAGTGTCTCTTTTGCTCCAACTCCACACCATTAGGTACCACCCTGGCATCAAGCATCTCCTCCTTGCTAAAGTGCATTGTTCTGTAGAAACATGCCTGCTGCCTGCCCTCATCCAATATCAGGTGCTCTTAGGTGTCCTAGGAATTAGAATGGACTACCATTTTAAGAGCATTTTCAGCAAGGCTAGTGTTTCATTACTCACTACTATGCTGACCTGACAGATGTTGCATCTAGAAAAGCTTCCAATATTATTAAGGAAACAACAGCTAAAGGAAGAGCACATGGAGCTGGTCAGAATGCATTGTGATATGTGTTTAGAAATAATGGAAAGGCCCAGGTTGAGCCAAGATTCTTTGTGATACAGACCACATTGTTAATATAAACAGTTGTAAACAGTTGTATTATAGTAACAATTTTAAATAATCTATGTATATATTGTCTCTTCAAATAGACTAGAAACACCTCAGAATTAGAGATCAAATTGTTTGCTTTGATTTTCAATAATCAAAATCAGAGCCTTGGACATCCTCATATATAAAAGAAAAACAAATATAAAACATTTCTCAATCTTTCACTTATATATCCTACAGAGATTGCAAATAGGAGAGATAAATTTCCATAAAACCTACAAGGAAAGTTTAGAGCACTCTACTCTGGCACCTGTCAAATGACAAAACACGGAAAATGTTATGAATGACAAATAATATAAAAATGTGAACAAATTGTTTTCTATTTTACCTTTTCACAGAGTTCATTTTCTTGACTGGTGAAGTCAAGTTGAAAAAAAATAGAAATAATTTCTTCAACATCAGTAGCTTCTCTGGCTGAGATTTTACTGTTTTGCAAGAATAAGTCAAAGAGGAAATTCTAGGAACCCCAAAATAATGCTCATATACATCTACCTTTTCAAATATCTTTAATGTAAATAATCTAATTTGAATTGCCGGGCTACTTCTGATATGAATATTATCATTATCTTAATTTTACAAATGTGAAAACTACAGTTTTTAGAAGTTAAATAACACATAAATTAAAACTAGTAATTGGAGAATCAATGAATTGAATAATTGATTTCAATACCTGTGCTCCTTTTTGTATATGACAGTTGGGTGGTGTCTGTACTAACTTACTCTTGACAATTTCTTTGCACTATACCCCTGCAATAAATTGTAGACTTGTCATTTTTAGCTACCAAATTACTGCAAGGTCCAGAATGTGTTATTAACTCAACCTTGTCCAGGAATTCCTCATGAAAAGAAATTTTAATAAACCAATGGGGACCCTGTTAGTCACAGATGCCAAAACAGCTCAGTGTTCTTTGTGAAGGGCAGTAACAGCTCCCCAAAATTATGTTATGCCATAACATTTGCAAGCTACATTTCTATTGGAAATTAATAAACTCAGTTCAGGTCGATGGCAAAAATAGAGTTTTTTTTTTTTTTTTTTT